GTGCCCCGCCAGCCCAGCCGCAGCAGGGACGTCCCATGACAGGAGGCGGGAAAGTTTGGGGGCTCCCCCACGTGTGTCTGCTCTACGCGTTTCGCTCCTGCGCTCAGGGCGGGAGTGGGGCAGCTACAAGGGGGAGCCTCCCTCCCGGCCCGAGATCGAGTGACACGCAGCGCGCCTTCCCCTGCCTGCTCCCTCCGAGAGGCCGGGCTGTTGGGAAACCACAGCACACTGGGCCGAGCGACTGGATCTAGTCCGGGAGTGGGGCAGCTACAAGGGGGAGCCTCCCTCCCGGCCCGAGATCGAGTGACACGCAGCGCGCCTTCCCCCGCCTGCTCCCTCCGAGCGGCCGGGCTGTTGGGAAACCACAGCGCACTGGGCCGAGCGACTGAATCTAGTCCTGTAAACAGGACGTGATTCACTCTGCGAGCCGCCATGGAGAGCACTGGCGCGTTTGCGAGCGCTGGCTTAGCCGCGTGCACCTCCACACCCCAGCCCACACGTTGCCGCTCCTCTCACCGCAAACGTGTTTCGCTTGCTTCAGTTTCTCCTGCAGCCCCAGCTCCGGTGGAGATGGGCTGCGAGCGACTGAATCTAGTCCTGTAAACAGGACGTGATTCACTCTGCGAGCCGCCATGGAGAGCACTGGCGCGTTTGCGAGCGCTGGCTTAGCCGCGTGCACCTCCACACCCCAGCCCACACGTTGCCGCTCCTCTCACCGCAAACGTGTTTCGCTTGCTTCAGTTTCTCCTGCAGCCCCAGCTCCGGTGGAGATGGGCTGCTCAGCGATCCCCGTAGCGGAAAAATTCGTCCGGCACCACAGTTCTCACGAGAAGCCTCGGATCTTCAGTGTTGAGGCACAGTCTGCAAGATCTGCTTTTAAAGTATTTCTCCTCCCCCATTGGCCTTGGGATCCCCTGGCTATCAACTTGGGCACTCAGCCCCAGGGTGAGGGTTGCTTCAGATGTGAGCCCTCCTGGGCTTGGAGGTTAAGGGGGGAGGTCTCAGCACTGGGCTGGTAGCTCAGATTGTCGATCCTGGGGCAGGGGCCGCATACAAATAAGTCAGTGGAAGCACTACGGGAGAGGTCGGGCAGGGATGACAGAAGGAGCTCAGTGTGGACATGAAAACCTGCCTTAATTACTGCTGTGATTGTACTTCCGCTTAAATTGGTTTAATTTTGTAGTGATGGGCAAGTCTTATCCACTTCATAATTGCTTCAAATTCAGGTGTCATTTCAACCTTAACTATAGTAGCACCAATACAATGATCTATGTAATTACAGCTTTAGTGAATTTACTGTAGTTTCAGTAGATTGCACATACAGATTTTAGAATAGGACAATTCAGTTCTGTGATCAGGTGCTACCTTATAGCTGAGGTTTGAGTATATAGTGAGGTAAAAAACAACAGAGGGCTTGAAATGATAAACAACTTTAGAGGATAGATTTAAGTTGCAAGTGACAGTTGGGATGAAAATTATAACAACATTTCCTTGTAGTTGCTGGATGTGGCTTCGCGTGTTTTGTATTTATAACAACAAAATTATGGGGTAGAAAAGAAAGACCCCTTGGTTGGTGTTGTGTAATTACTGTACGTCAAAGCATCTCTTCACACAGTCTCATTTTGCTAGATTTTCCTTGCTTAGTCTCCACATCACCATTGGAAAAAAAAAATTGGCACTAAAAAACAATTACAGTTCATCACAGGGTTGGACAAGTGTGTATTTTTCTTGTTTGGATGACATCAGGCCCTTGTCTCTTTGGAAAGATATGCTGTCTTTTTCTTGTTGGGATGACATCAGGCCCTTGTCTCCTTGGAAACTGAAGTTGCAGCTGTGACCCAGCAGTGGCAGTCCCCCACCGCCCGGGTCGCTGCCCCCCTCCTGTCGGGACAGGGGATTCATCCCCCCCCAGGCGAGACAGTGCCCACCACCCTTTGGTGAAATGTCACTCTAGGCGTGTAGTTAGTCCCTTGGGTATAATCCTGTGCAATCTGAGTCCTCTACTGGTTGCCTTGCCAGCGCCTCGGCCAAGGGAGATGGGGGGTTCGGGCCCACCCCCACTCCGAGCCCCGACCCAGAGCCCTAAGAACTGAAGGAATCTCTCTCATGGTTCGGTTGGTGGAGGTAACTACCTGTAACGCACCAACCTACGGGCATCCTCTGCTGTGCCCTGGGTCACTTCCTACCTCCCTCAGTCAGCCGTCTACTCCCCAGCCGTAGCATGGTCCAGTGTCCTCAGGAGCCTCTTCCTCCGCTCCCCTTCCTCCAGCCGGTGATGTCCTTTTGAATCGTCCTGCTGGCTCAGCGTCTGACTGAGGAGGGGCAGGGCGGCCGCGTGCCCAATCCACAGCCACTACTGGGTGGGTGCGTCCAAGACAGGCAGACGCAGACGGCCCGTTCCCCATCTTCCCCACCTTGGCGCCACTCCTCCCCCTCCCCCGGCACGGCCCGCCGATGCTGCGTCCTGTGCGTAGGGAGGCGAGGCCTCCGGCGCTCTGCCCTGCACAGCCTTGGTGCAGGTGCGGCAGAGCCAGGGACACAGCAATAGTGCCGGGGACAGCGCAGCTCCATAGCGGGGCACTGGAGCGTCTCCATCACACAGCCATTGTTTTTCATAAAAAACTGCCTTTTGTTAACAAAACAGTGAGAGCGTTCACACTACAATGCAACCTTTTGGGTTGCAACCAGTTTTAGCTTGAGAGGTTTTTTTGCTTTTCTCCTCCCTTTATTGTTGAAAAGGAGCAGTGTGAACTCTGTTGTTTGTTTTGTCAAGTCAACCGGCTTCCACCCCCATCCCACAGTGCCTGCTCTGATGGCTGTGCTCAGTGTTTTGTGATCTCCACTGAGTGTTTTCTGGTCTCTGTTTTCCTGCAGGCATGCACCCCTCCCCTTTCAAATTCCAGTATCTGATAGCTGAGTGAGCTGTTCCATCTGGGGAACAAACAAAAAGAGAAAGTCATGGAATGCTTCTGTTCTGCTCTGCTATAAACACACCAGCAGGCAAACAACTGCTGCCGGGGGAAGGCTGGAGAGACTGCTGTGCTGCTTTGACATTCCTCAGCATGGAGAGCTCACAGAGCTACTCATGATGCTGCTCCTAGCAGCTGAGAATGCGGTGGGAGAACTCAGATTCCCAAGAAGTGCAGGGATCAGCTCTGCCTTCCCTCAACATGGCACTGTGGGATGCTTACCCACATTACTTTGCTCTGTCTACAGGATGCTAGCAATGTGGCTTGAAATGTCATCAGTGAGAGGCAGAAAAAACAGTTTGACCAGTTTTCACTTTTGCCAGCTTTTACATGTCAACAGCACTTTTGTCTCCAGACCTTCCCAGAGTAGACATAGCCTGAGATGGAATTTGAACTCAGTTTGGTTTATTGTTTTTCCCCCTCAGCTTATTGAAAAATAAATATTGTTTCTTATTCTTCTACATTGGCATGTCCTGTGCATGTTTTTTGAACATTGACTGAAGTATCTATCCAAATTGGAATTTAGATGATGGAGTTTTCTACAGGCATCAAAGAATCCAGCTATAAAGTGAAATGATCTGTAACTACCAGCATGAAGGCCAATCTAATTTCTAATCTACTTCTGTGTTGGGGTGTCTTTTTTCCCTCTGACCTGGTTTTCACTACGAAGTTAGGTTCATGTAAGTTCAACTTGATAGTGCCTCTGTCTGCACTAAAAATTGTCTCTGACATATGTGTTGGGTAAAACATCTGCCCAATCTAGTATAATGTGGATCTAACTCATATAACTTTAACTTTCAGTTATTCTAAGTCATGTACATTTCAGGCATTACAAGTCCTGTGATTCTCTGCTATTGTAAGTCATGTAACTTTCACTTGTTCTAAGTCATGTAAGTTTCAGTTATTGTCTACCACTTTTCTGTTACTGTGAGCTGTGTAATATTTCAAGTTCTGCAATTTCCTGCAAGCTTTGTAACATCCAGTTATTGCTGGTACAAACTTTAAGCTTTGTAACATTCCATCATGCGACAAGGGAGTATGTGGGTATGGGTGAATAGTGGACATGTGGAAGTGATAAGAGAGTGTGAGAGTGAGAAGAATGTCTATGCCCAGGTGGAGAGGAGCATCAAGGTTACAGACTTGGAGCCAGGTGGGGTCTGATGTAATCTTTACTTGCACGTATGAGGCGCAAGAAATGGAGGTGCAGCAAAGATGAGCAGAAGAACTTAATATGCATGAGAATAATGAGAGCTGGGTGCGCCTCTCAGTGACTCACACAGAAGAACTCAGTGTACATGACACGGGTGCACAGCTGAACAAAGAGAAGAGAGCATGCAGACCATGGGTTGTATGATCAGCTCTTCAGCCCAGATTTGTGACTGCTTGCATACACACCGGATCCACTATGCTTAGCTTCTTCTGCTATCTCTGTGCAACTCATCGCATGCATATGTGTAGGTATCTGATCGTATGAAAGTGTGTACATATGTGAAGGAGTTCCATTCCCTTTTCATTTGATGCAACAGAGGCATTGAATAAATCAGTACAAGTGTAACCCTGGGCTGGTCTCCAGTGAAATTTGGTAACACAATGTAAACACCCTGTTACAGTGATGCAGTAAAACCACCTCTCCATATGGTGTGGAGCGGAGCCATCGTTGACTTATTAAAGTCAATATAATGCTACCGAAAACACTGTGCAACCTTGTTGATCCTAACAGTCCACCAGCAGCTCTCCCACAGTACCCCATTCCCTGACAGAGTGACCACTTTGATCACAGTTGTGAGCTTCACTGCTCAGGATTCACAGGGTACATCTACATCAACAGTTCCCAACATTTTCCAGATGGGGACCCATTTTGAAAATTCAGAAAGACTTAGTGACCCAGGGCAATTAAAAAAATATGTGAATGGCTCCTTAAGAGCCACCTGGGGAGACACCTGGCGGTCCTTTTGAAATGTAATGATGACCCATATTTGGGTCCCAATCCATAGGTTGGGAAACCC